TTAAATCCCATAGAGTTCTCCCTGCCTCTGCCTCTGCCTCTGCTAGGATTTAAAGGTGTGCCACCATCCGGCCATGTCCTTGTTTTAAATCCAGCATGATGTTAGTGGGTACTGCTGATCAGTTGTGAGACAAGGCTGAGGGCATACATGTTATCTCTGACCTGGTTTTCAGTGTTTGTATGTTTCTGTGGTTAGAATTTTTTTTTTTGAAATGGTAATTTATTTATTTACTTATTTTTTCTCATATTATTATTATTATTATTATTATTATTATTATTATTATTGTGTTAAGTATGTGGACTGTCACTTAGGATAGCGCATATTTGGGGCCCTGCTTTACCACTCTCCACTTCACTCTTGTGATGGTCTCTCATGGACCTTAGAACTAGGTTGGTAGCCACAGTTCCAGAGGATTCTCCTGTCTTCACTCTGTGCAGTGCTGGGCTTTCTAGTATGCCTGGCTTCTCACATAGCTGCTCAGGATTTGAACTCCAGTCCTCATGCTTGTGTAGTAATCCTCTTACCCACTGACTCATTCTCCCAGCCCCAGAAAAAAAACATTTTTATATTCATATTTTCATTACAGCCAAGAAAATATTACCCTCAACTGGGGTAACATCTTGATGTCTGTATTGTTGCATTTGACTGCAGTTCCTACAGGCATGTCCAACTTGTGGCCTGTGGATTATATGTGTCACAAGATAGCTGTGGATGAGGCTCAATGAAAAGTCATAAACTTATTTAAAATATGAGTATTGTAAAGAGGGATGGATCTCTGTGTTTATGTCCAGTTTATTAAACAGGTGCAAAATAAAAGTACACTTCAAATAACAGAATGAGGCTGCAACGATGCTGCTGCTTCAGCTGCTGCTCCTCTTGTTCCCAAGGGAGATTGAGGAGGTCTGGGGAAGGTCACAAAGCTGCCGCCGCCAGCAAACCCTCCATAGTCGAAGAGAAAGCAAGCTTTGCCCCACCCTGGCCTTTTATTTGGGGAGTCTTAGGGTCAAGTACCACCAGAGAAGACAATGCCCATTGGGCCAAGCTGCCCCAATACAATTGGCTATCAGATTGAATTCCTACATTTTTCCTTTTTTAGTTCAAAATATAAAGGAGGGTTCTAATCTTAACATAATGAAACTATATGCAATAAGAACATTATCAGGTATTATCCAGACAAAAGAAAATGTAATAACATAAACAAAAAATGAAAATACAAACAACAAGGACAATATCAAGTAAGAAATACATTCTAGATGTCCAGACCATAAGTAATTGGTAAATTATAGAAATTACTCCATTAGTTGTTTTTTCCTGCAGAATCTAGGCTTGTACCTGATACGTCCTTAGCTAAGATTCAGGAAGATTGAAATTGTAACTATATATTAATGATTGGCTGTCAGATCGAATTCCTACAACAGTTTTGTTTCTAAGTTGATTGCATAGTCTTAATCGGGAACTGTATAGAAAGGTTTTGTCATAATGTCAAAATATGGAACATAGTGCAGGCCATTCACATTAAACTATTGAGTTTTAAAAGACCACAGATCCCTTATTGAGATATTTGATAATGCTAAAAATATTCTGCCTGGAGAGAACAAATAATGGAATAAATGTTTGAAGCCAGGGAAGAGGGAGGCTGAGGCAGGAAGATCTCAAGTGAAGGCCAGCATAGGCTACTACAGTAAAGCCTTGCCTCAGGAAAAAAATAATGAGTTTGCTTTCTTACTGATTGTATCAGTAACAAAATTGAGTACTAATGTTAGCTTACCAATTTCCTGTAGGCCTTCCGAGTAAAGTATGGAATTAGAGATGAAATGGTCCTGCCATTTGAGCCGGTGAGTATGGGAGTATTCATAGGCTTCACACGTCTTTATTAGAGAGAGAAAAGACACACGTTCTTCTTGTAACAAAAATAAATCTTTGGTAGAGTTTGAAAATAAGAGAGGGAATTTTCTTACTTTAATTTGATAATTTACTGTTGTAAATAACAGGAAAAGAAAAAGCAATACACATTTCTTTCCACCTGGCACCTGCAGCCTGCGAACAAACAGCCTTTTATTCTCATCGGTTTTATCCTAGCTTACCAGCCTCATACCATCCTTAACTCAGGAATATTTATTTTGTAGCCTTGCAGTGCTGCTTAATGTTTCTTGTTTTCACGTTAGTATCTGCAGAAGAAAAGTCAGAATAATACTAGCAAATGACTTCTGTGAAGAGTGTAGGAGAGTGAGCTTGGACATGCTCAGTGCCCTGGGTGTGATCCCCTCAGCACTAGGGGAAAAGACTCCAAAACTTTGATACAAACTTGAAACCATCTATAAAAATAGTTGACATTGCTTTGCTTCTTGCAGACTGTGTGACCTGTGTGTCTGGGTGAGGGTGGGGGGTATGTGTGTCATGTGTTGTTCCTGTGGTAAGGGAATACACATGTTCCCATCTTCAGGCTAGTGGTCTGTGAGCACTGAGTGTATGTCACTGCCTGGTGGTAGTTCCAAGGTGACTTTACAGGGCAAAGGGGCCACGTCCACGTGGCTGATTAGTGTCTGCCTTTCAGCATGAATACACTTCTGGTGTTGCTGTTCTCTGCAGGTGCCAGTCCTTGAAATCCCAGGGATTGGAAGTCTTTCTGCTGTGACCCTTTGTGATGAGCTGAAAATTCAGAGCCAGAATGACCGTGAAAAACTTGCAGAAGCAAAGGAGAAATTGTATTTAAGAGGGTTTTATGATGGCGTGAGTCACAATTTTTATTGTTTTTATTTATAGCTGTATGCTCTAGTGTTCCTCTTAATAATTTTAACTTAAAGAAAAAGAAAAATTCAACATAGTTTTTGTAAAACACTAATTTGAAAAAGATAAGTACATTTTATTCTAAATTTCCAGTTTTTATCATGTCATTTCTAGAAACATTTCTAGAATTATATTCTTTTGGTGTGCTCTGGGAATCTCTAAGAAATGAATTTCTTGAGATATTTAAAATTAGTTCCTAATATTACACAGTACAACTTTAAAGGTTGGCCACATCAAGAATGCCTTTTCCAGGGCTGGGAAAATGGCTTAGCAGTTAGGTGCACTTACTGCTTGTACAGAGAACTTGGGTTTGATTTCCAACACCTGCATGGCAGCTATCCCAGTTCCAGGGGATCCAATAGGTATGCATGTACTATAAATAATGCAGAGGAATACATCTTAAATTTTTTTTTTAAATGCTTTTTCTTTTTGCTTTTCATAATGGGGTTCAGTTTTTGCTTAAGCTGTTTTATTCAATCTATTAATTTACTTGTTGCCTAGTTAGTGTTAAGTGAGGACAACAAAGCTGTTCTGAGCTTCTTCTCAGTTCTGCCTGTGCTAATGTGCCTTAGATTTTCATGGGAAGGCTAAACTAGAGGAGCATAGCCACATAAAGTTGAAGTGGATTTTTTGTTTGTTTGTTTGTTTGGTTTTTTTTTGAGAGAGTGTTTCTCTGTGTAGCTTTGTAGACCAAGATGGCCTCGAACTCACAGAGAATCCTCCTGCCTCTGCCTCCAGAGTGCTGGGATTAAAGGTGTGCACCACTACTGCCTGACTGAAGTGAATGTT